TGTAGACTTATGAGACTGGGAAAAGATGCCCTCTGGAGAGACAAAGCATTTCCATGTTTACTATGTTGACCATATTTAAGCAAAGACCAAGGTATAGGATCACAGTTAGGGGGGAAATGATTGAATATTTACATGAACAGAACCAGAGGAAAAATATTAAAGCTCTTTCAAAATACACAGAAACTATTAAGATAATGACCATATTTAACTAGAAAGAAAGTTAGGCAGGGGCCATTCCAACATCTCTAAGAGCAACCTGCCACACAGATACTTAAGCACTGTCCTGTACTGTTTGCTAGTTGCTTAATGTATGTTAATTCTGTTTCTCTTCTAGACCAAAAGGTCTTGAGGGCCAGGCCTTATCTCCTATTGCTTCAGTTTCTTCCCTGGTGCTAAGTCTAAAGCAAAGGTTTAATACTTAAATTGTATTAAACACTTAATAGCTGGCAGACTAAAACAGACTACAGAAGAAAGTCACTCCACAAGGTCTCTGTATCTTAAGTGTGATAAAAATCTTTTAAAAAATCATTATAACCATCATTCTATGCTGACAAGATGGATACTAAAATTCATTGCAGCTGTGGCCATGATTAATTATAAGTTTAATCATGTATTTTAGGGTAAGCCTACTTAGCATCTTCTTTGCTTTAAATTGCATATACTATGCTAAGGGTCAAAGTAACTTCTTGGCTCATCAACATCTTTTGGATATGCAAAAAAAAAAAAAAACGAAAAAGAAAAAAAATACTTTGACAGCTTAACAAAAATGTGAAATAAAATTATGAGCTAGAACAATCTTTTTAGGAATATGACTTAATATAATTACATCCATTAGACCAGAGTGTCAATAATAATGAAAGAAAATATTCCCAAATATTGCTTTATGAATTTCACTATGCATATTATATAACCTCTATCTCATCCACTACTCATTATAACCATTTAATTTTATTCTACTATGATAAATAAAAAAGGAATGCCAAATATTATGTCAAAAAGAAAACATTCTCCAAACATGCATTAATCAAGTGTAGCCTATAGTTCTTATTTTTATCCCATATCTAATCCGGAAAGTCAATAAAAAGTTTAAAGGAATGAGGTATTTACATGTAATTAAAGTTCACGGTGTATGCAAAATGTCAATGGTAGAGTGGTGCCCCCACGTGGCATAATGATAAATTGCAATACTCTGATGGAAAAGTTAGAAGCACTATGTATATACAGCTCTTCGATTTTGTTAATTTCTTTGATTAAATCTAGAAGGGTATATCATATCAATCTGTTTCATGGAAGCTAGTTATAAGTTTTCTACAGACCAGCTCAGACTCATTGTCTACCCAAGTCACTAAATAACATTCACACCAAGAAATAGTCTGGTATGTAAAGGTATGATACACCTTCCTTATTAGCTCAAAAGGTTAGGGATGTGTCTGCAAAACAACTAAAGGAGTCATATCTACTTTGATCTATTAAGGGAACAGCATTCATGACATTATAGACATCTTTTTTGAAAGTATGCATCTTCCACCTCTAATATTAACCAATTCCCTATGTTTGCGGTCTAGTATGTAAAACAGAATTTAAAACCCTACCTAACCAAATTGCTTGGACAATGGGAGGTGCTAACAATGCATTTTGCTCATAAACTGAAGGTTCAACTGTCAACACTTTGTGGAGAAGTGGGGAGGGAACCTAAAACAAAAACATGAATTTAGGTTCCTCCCTCTGTACTAGTATTAAACATACAATCGCTGATGAGTTGATATCTTACATAGCTAAAAGGTTCACATTCTGAGGACCAGTTTCTTTTGGACAGCCATAGAGATATAAAAGAATGGATGACAATGGAATTGTTACAATCTCAAGAAGATCCCTGAAGAAGTTGTTTAAATCACATGCCTAACATCAGATTGCTTTGTTTGGGAGATTTTTCTCTCTTAAAAGTGGAATACAAAAGAAAACCTTCCACTCAGTAGAGAGTTCCAATTCAAGTCACTGAGTAGTGATTTGCTATAATTATATTAGGCTTCCTTTAATTATTCCTTTAACTTGGATTGTTTATAATTAAGATGAATGCTGGCTATTATTGAGTTATAATAATGTGTAAAGCAATGTGATATCCATATCTTATGTAAATAGGTAAATATCTCATTTAAGCCTTATTATAATTGTATGAAGCATTACTCCCATTTTACAGATGAGAAAACTGAAGCTCAGATTAGGAACCTGCCTAACCTTAACCTCACAGTTAAGTACAAGCCTGTTCGCAGTTAAGAACAGCATGATGAATAATTCCTTTGCCAGAGATTCTAGACTAGAACTTCTGTTGCCAAATGATTTGTCCACTATCCTTACCATTGGATTCATTCCACAAAACTAGCTTTGTCTGACATCTTCAGCTCAAGTCATGTGTTTTAAGATTAGTTCAGGAATAAGAAAAGTCAGTAACAAATCACTTACCAGCCAAGCAGCCCCAGCCTCCTCTTCTCTCTCACTCATTGTCTTTCATTTTCTCTCCCCCCCCCCCCCCCCCCCCCCCCCCCCCCCCCCCCCCCCCCCCCCCCCCCCCCCCCCCCCCCCCCCCCCCCCCCCCCCCCCCCCCCCCCCCCCCCC